AGTATAAGTGATAAGACAAGAGTATGTGAACATGAAAGGAAATATATGATTTAGGTATAAGGAATAAGGAATAAAGAAATGAAAGGAATTGATTTAAAGGATCAGATACGATAAATATGGAAGTACAGATGACAATTTTGATATAGAAATAAGACAAGTGTGCAAGGTGATGTGAAAAAGATTCTTTAAAGTGTAGGTTGAATCGTATTTAAGAAGATTTAAGGTCGTATTCTTGGTTAAATGATGATGGAAAATGAATTTGGTTATTATAAAGTATTTAGAGATGAATTTATGATATAGAGTGATGAGATGGATGTACTGTCAACGTGATGAGTGACATTATATGGAATTTTAGAAAGGTCAAAGGAAAAATGCATAGTCGAAGGAGAGAAAAGACAACAATGGATTGGTATTACTGGTTATTGTTTATATGATAAGCAACAAAAGAGGAATGTATAAACGAAAAAGATAGTTGGAAAACTTAAGGATTGAAAAGTAAGTTTCTGATGATGACAAGAAAGAATAAGTCAGGGAAGCAACATAAGAACATTAGAAGATATGTTCTTACTAAGATGTTCAGTGAAAATTCGAGGGCGAATTTTCTTATAAGGAGGGGAGATTTGTAACATCCCAAAAGCCGGGTCAGTGACTAAAATGTAAATTTTGGGAAACTTTGTGCTCAATTTTAAAATAAGTTAAAAGTTTTGGGATTTAAGTAAAGAATTTTGATGATGGATTAAATAGTATAGATGGATAATTAAAGGGGCAATTTAGTCTTTTCAGCTTAAAGGATATTTTGTGTTTCCTTTAAATAAGAGTGGTACACGTGGGTTTTGGGAGATTTCTGGAAGCCTTCTTCTTACTCTCTTCTTCTTCTCGTAGCTCCAGCTTAAAGGTAAGTTTGATTTTTAACTGTTAATTTCTGGAATTTATAAGTTGGTTTTGAATCTTTGGGCATTAAATAAGCTTAAGGAAAGCTTATATGGGATTTAAACAATAAGATAAAGGAATTATGAAGGAATTTGCAATATGAGTTTTAAGATGAAATTTTGATATGGTATGGTTGTTGAAGTTTTATGGATGAATTTGACTTGTCATCAATCTAATTAAGAAGTATGAAGTGTTAGAATTGGAATTAGAACACATTGAAAATTTGGTATGATTCTTGAATCTCATATGGAAGATAGGATTTTGAGGTTTAAGATGAAATAAATGAATATAGATTGGTTTAAGTATGTGTACTAGAGTTAAGAATGAAAAGGGGATGATTTATGAAGTGTTTGAGAGGAAATGAAGTAATTTTCGAGTTAAAAATATGATTTCTGGGCAAGGGGAATCGGTACCCATTCAAGGGGAACCGATACCCCTTCAAACGAACAAAAATTTCCAGAATGTCATGAGGGAATCGATACCCCCTTAGTAGGGAACCGATTCCCCCTAAAGGAAATTGTGAATATGGGTTTAATAAGTTTGTTTAAGTTGCTAGTATCCAATTACAAGGTGTAGGTATCTAATGATTGCCTCAAATGTACATTTATGTAGATTCTGCGGGTAAAGCAATTCCGGAACATTTGGCAAGTAAGATCGATCAAGGGAAAGATAAGAGATTGAAATTGACTAGTGAGGCCAAGGTGAGTGCATACTAGTGACATGTAGCGTTTAATGGAAATAAGACTTGCGATGAGTCTATTTCTAGAGTAATATGCATGAAGTCATAGACATGATTATGTGTTGGTTATAACTATATGTGATTATATGTATTACATTGATTGTATGTATGCATGACTAAAGATAATGATATGATTTGTATATACTATATGATTTATGTAAGACTTTATTATGTAATAATGGAAGAACATGAAATAAGTTATATGATAGAATCATAAGAAATGAAATGAACATGAGAGAATAAGATAATCAAGTATAAGTCATATGATATGGTATAAGTGATTATACGAGAAATGTTAGGAGACTCTAAGAGAATAATATGAATTCAAGGGCATAAATAAGGATACATAAGTAATATAGGGAAGATTGATAGATTAAAGGAAACTATGGTTTATGTATTATAGTGAAGAGCTACAAAGTTTTATTAAAGAGTATTGTGGAAGTCATGAGAAATTGAACTAAATAAATAGATGGTTTATGTGAATAAAAAGGGAAAATGATATAAAATAAGTTATGAAATTATAGGAATATAGAAGATAAGTCGAGAGATGTAGGGAAATAGAAATAGATGTTTATTGAGGGTCATAGGAGAACAAATATATGTAATATGATAATGAAATATAAGACTATGTGGATACATGGTTATGAGATAAAATATGTAATAATAGGAAAATATGATGAAAGTGAGTTTATAAGAAGTGATATGAACTAGGTAAACATGGGTAATAGTATATGCATAATGGAAACATGAGTTGGACAAGTACCTAGTGGTATGAGTTATTATGAGAATTAGTATAATGAAACTATATGAAAAGATTATAATGAATATATGAAATTGAATTAAGTAAAGAGATTAAATTAGTACCTAAATAAAAATACTATTAAATGATATATGTTTAGAAATACGACATAATTTATAATCTAAGGGAATACAAAGAAATAGAGCATAAGGTAGATAATATGATATCCGTTATTATATATCTATATGATATATGTCATCAGGTAATATGAAAGGACTCTGAAAATTGATATAAGCTAGGAGAAAGTGTTCTATGTGTTATATGAAGCATATATGATCATATGTGAACAAGATATGATATGTATATTTATATGAATATCTGAGAAATGATCTAAGCTATAGGATATGATATGCGTGATTATGTGCACTTTGTGATATATGTTATATGATATGGATCTATGTAACTACGTGAGAAAGTATATAAGCTATGTGACATGTAAATGTGACTCATATGAAAATGTTCTATGAGTAATTGAACTATGTTTTATGTGAAATGATAAGTATAAAAGAAAATGCCCATGTTATGTGTCTTGAGAGCTAGGGGTATAGTTGGCATGCCAAGAGTAGAGGGTCTACGCGGTCCTTCGAGACAATATTCTACGCGGTCCTTCGGGATATATATATATTCTTTGGAACATGTGTGAAGTCTGGTGATACACATATATGATCCCTAGCATATGTATATGATTCTTAAGGAATTCTATGTGGTCCTTATGGACATCATTATATGGCACTACGGTGCAATTCTACGCGGCACTGCATTTATACGAGCTGTGGTGACAGCATAGTGCACAACCTCATAATACTCAGATACCTTAGGTTCTCAATATGATATCATGGGCCAATAAACTCATTGATACAAATTCATGAATGTTAAAGTAATATGCTTACAGGTATGGATATTGGTGATATGAGAACAATGTATGTGATATATGTATATGATTTGTGATATGATGTGTGCATGATATGATATATCTGTGATAGGGGTAATGGTATCTGTTACATAGTATGCATGAATATATGTTGATGTATATGTAAATGAGTTGTATAATTTGATAGCATAAAACAGTCATACATGATTAGTGGGTATGAATTCCATTAGATGTGTTTTCTTTATGCCTCACTAAGTCTTCGACTTAGCGTGTGATTGTTTCACACGTAGGTTTCGAGAAGTGTAAAGAGTAATGCGGAGCAAGACATGTCAGTTCTCCTTACCAAATGTCAGATCAGAAAATATATGTACTGTTTATAGAGTGTAGTTGGCATGTATTCTAAAGATATAAATTGTATGAACTCTGATATATTTTGTAAATGTTTTGAATAAGTTAAATGTTATCAAAGTTTTTAAATTAATCACTATTTTATACGAATAAATGTTTGAAAAGTCAATGTGACACTTCGGACTCGTATCCGGGTCGGATACGGGTTGGGGGTGTTACAATATCACTTAAAAATAATTAATTACTAAAATAACACTCAACTGCTGATTAATTTATGATCTAACGCCATTTCTATCACGTAAGCAAATGTGTTTTTTGTAGGAAGTGTTTTGAGCTGATGTGGTAGATGTGTGTCGAGGAAACATAATTAAACGAGTACGAGTCAAATTGGGCGATGACAACACTATGTATTAACCTTATGTTTAATATTTCGATAAATAAATACTTAAAATATTATATTTAAATACTTAAAAACCCATCAATAATCTCTATAGTAAATGGTTGAAAGTTGTGAGTTGACATCTCTCATCTCCCTTAGATTGTGGATCCTATACCCATTAGGACCAAAATTCTAATTCTAACTCCACTAGGTTGGAATTGTTAAAAAAAAATCTTGAAAGCCTACATATTTAAACAATATGAGCTAATACACGTCGTCGACACCGCCCGACCCAGCTCGCGCTTGTGCAATTACGTGTCTTTGACGCACACCGCACATGTTTGTTCTTTTAAATGAAGTTCATATAATTTTCTTTCATATTTTTAACCTTTAATTTTATTTTTCTTTCATTTCAATCCAACTTAACCGAGATCAGCAAAACGCACTTTCTTCCGCATCATAATAAGACACTTCCTGCATAACATCCCTTTATTAAGTAGGATGCTACCTGTGCAAAGCATGCTTTGTATAACACATTCTTGTCATGTAATACAAATGAATGATAGATGGAGAATTAATGAATAATGTGTTATTTTGATAAATAATTATTTTTTGGGGATATTTGTGTAAAATTACCCTTCTTTCCGCTACCAGACATTTTCCCCTACTAAACATTATTTTCCATAATTATTACAATACATTCTGATCAATATATATATATATATATATATATATATATATATATATATATATTACAATACCTAATTGTCTTTCTCTTTAATTTTAATTTATATATATAAATATAAATATAAAAATATATATAAACTGAGCGTATTAAGCACAAATGTGTAAAATAGCTCTCCCTATCATTAAATACTATTATTAACATCGTTTATTCACTGAAATGTATCATTTTTATTAATTTTCTCCCACCCTCCATTTTTCTGATCGACGATCCCCATATTTTATTCCCTCTAAATTCCCAATTGAAAACCCTAATTGTTTTCCCTCCACTTAATTCAGTGTACCTTCCGCAAAAAATTGTTAGTTTGATTTTTCGTTTTTTTTAAACTTCACTGAGATTCCAAAATTAGCTCGGAGCCTTAATTTGTTACACGTGGCGATCTGGGTCTTACTTCTTGCTTCGCTTCCATTGCTGCCCATATCTCGGTAAATTTAGCGTGTGTGTGTGTGTTTTAATTTTAAAGTGTAATTTATGTGGAAATGTTGCTTACTTAATTTTGTCAAAAAATTAGTTCTTTAGTTAAAATTTTGGTTTAAATTACATAATTTAAATATTTCTTGAGCTGTTTAACTTGGATCCATCTGATGTTTGTTATTTGGCTTTGAAATTAGTGGATTTAGTTTTTCAAATTTTTGCAAACTAGCTTCCTTTTGTGGGCTTTAATAAACAGAACTGAGAAAAATGATAGAAGAAGGAAGTTAACTATAAATTTACCTTTAGTTTGGCTTGAACATTTTTTTTTTGGCTTTTATGCGGGTTTTCAGAATTTGATTAGAACTTAACAAGTTAAGATCTTAAATGTAAGGAATAGTGATTAGGTTTAATTAAGTGTGTTTGAAGGTTGCATGACTTGGTGGAATACAGTTTCACTTGAAAAGAAAAACGAAGTTTGATTTGCGAAAAGGTCTAAATGTTGTGTTGTTGACCATTTGCAGAAAAGATGAAATGGTTGAATATGACAAGTCAGCTTCTTTTGTGGTTAGTCACTTTGGAATCTTTATAGCATTTATTTCAAGAGTTTGGTTTTGAAAATCATTTGAACTTTCCCAATGGAAGAGAACAAAGAGGAAGCACTTAAAGCGAAAGAGATTGCTGAGAAGCGATTTTGTGAAAGAGACTTTGCAGGTGCGAAGAACTATGCATTAAAGGCTAAATCGTTGTATCCTGGGTTAGAGGGTATGTCGCAGATGGTGTCCACATTCGAAGTTTATGCTGCATCTGAGGCTAAATGTAATGGTGACATCGATTATTATTCGATTCTTGGATTGAAGCCTTCTGCAGATAGAGAGGCAGCGAAGAAACAGTACAGAAAGATGGCTGTGTTACTCCATCCTGATAAGAATAAAAGTGTGGGAGCTGATGGGGCTTTCAAACTATTATCTGAGGCGTGGACTTTGTTGTCGGATAAAATCAAGAAAAGTGACTATGATATCAAGAGAAACAAACAGATGCCTTGTAGAGTGGTTCAAACTCCAACATATGCCACTGGGGTTACAGGTTTGAGCAACTGCTCAAGTACTTCGCAAGGTATACACGCTACTTTCTGGACTGTATGCACCTCTTGTAAAGTTCAGTATGAGTATCTCCGTAAGTATGTCAACAAGAGACTCTCATGTAAGAACTGCCGAGGTACTTTCATTGCAGTTGAAACAGGTTCAGCCCCAGTGAATGGTTCTTTCCCCTATTGTGCTTGGTCTTATGTGCCGAGTAATGGATACACAAGTCATGGATATGATGGGGTCACATACGTTCCAACAAATGCTACCTCAGTTACTGGAAATGTGGTCTCAGGTTATCATTCCGGGCATGGGTACGATTATGTTTCTAACATGCCTTTTCAGTGGAGTTCATACTCTGGAACATCTACTGGGGTCTTGGGCCATAATGGATTATCTACAATTTCCACTGATTCCATTTATCAGACCAACAGAGATGATCGAGGAGCAGGGTTGAAGATGAAATCAAGTGCCAATGGAAAGCATTCCATGAAAAATATTGTCACTCATACAGTTCCAAACTTGTTCAATGGCTATAATGAAGCTTCGGGATCTAAGACTGGTGGAGTTGAGAAGAAAAGGAAGGTTATTGTTGGTTCCGAATTTAAAAGTGGATACGAAGATAAGGGATTAAAATCATCAGAAGCAGGGATAACAAATGGGAATGGTGTTGAGCCTGATCCAAAACCTTTCAACCCAAATGAACCACCAAATAGGCGATGCTTAACACCACCGACATTTGATGCTATAAAGTTGTTAATTGACAAGGCAAGGACAGAAATTCAAAAGAAATTGGAAGAGATTAAGTTGGCTTCAGAGGCAGCTGCTACAGCCTCAGCAGTTAAATTAGGCACTGATGGAGTTCAACCACCACCAGTCTGCAAGGCTCCCAAGATATATGTTCATCAATCAGCATCACATAAAACTGCACCTGTCTCAATTACAGTTCCGGACTCCGACTTTCATGATTTTGACAAAGATAGATCAGAGGAATGCTTCAAACCGAAGCAAATATGGGCACTGTATGATGAAGATGATGGTATGCCTCGATTATATTGCTTGATTCGGCAGATTGTCTCTGTAAAACCATTTAAGATTCTCATCACTTACTTGAACTCCAAGACTGACAATGAATTCGGGTCAGTGAATTGGTTGGATTTGGGGTTTACTAAATCTTGTGGGCACTTCAGGGCATGGACTTCTGACATTATTGATCAGGTCAACATTTTCTCTCATCTTCTGAGAGGAGAAAAGGCTGGAAGGGGAGGTTGCGTTCGCATATTCCCCAAGACTGGAGATATTTGGGCTGTTTATCGGAATTGGTCACCAGAATGGAACAGATCAACTCCTGACGAAGTGAGGCACCAATATGAGATGGTGGAGGTGCTTGATGATTATTCTGAAGAGCTTGGAGTTTGTGTTACTCCCCTTGTCAAATTAGTAGGATTCAAAACTGTGTATCAGAGAAATACAAACAAGGATGCCATTAAATGGATTCCAAGGAAAGAGATGTTCCGCTTCTCACACCAGGTTCCTTCATGGCTACTTCAAGGAGAATCCAGTGATATATCCAATCATTGTTGGGATTTGGACCCAGCGGCAACTCCAGATGAACTTCTTCATGCTGCAACAGAAGCAAAGGCTTAACATAACCTTGTCATGCAAGAAATGATAAAGGAAAAGGCATGATTAGTTTGGAATTTGGTTTACCGTTCATAAAGAGAACTTAGATTTGACTTTACAAACTTTTCACACTTTGTTTAGCAGCCAATGCGACATTAAATCCTGATGATTTTAGAGGATGTAATATTGCTGAGGAACAGTATCTATGCTTCTACAATTCTGAATCTATTGAATGCTTTTGGTTACCAAGAAAAGCTCTTCTTGATGCTTTATCATCTATTGATGATCACTACAATTTTGGGATTGAGAACCAATGCAGGTGCTTAGCTGGCTTACTCACAGGATTTACATATCCAACCTGGTATATTTAATTTTTTGAAAACTTATCTTGTATTTGGAAGTTTATATCAATATATTCATCGCCAAATGTGTTAAATATGGGTATTGGATGTGAATATTCATTCTAGTATTTTTGCCCCCAGAAGAATTAGAATAGGAGGTTTCGATTATTTACAACAAAGTTCGCTCATTTTGAGCATTATATTAGGCCAATCATTGTTGCATGCATCTTGATCTTGACATATGTTGTTTACATGTGAAAAGTTTTATCTTGCAATCATTGTTTACATATGTTGTTGCATTTGTCTGGACTTCATATGAATTCCTTGAAATGAAAGGTCGATTACAGATGACATATTTTCTCGTGAAATTTCAATGTACCAAAAAAAGGGGTAATAAAATATATTAATAATTAAATAACAAGTTATTAATAAAATTTATATCTTGAATCATGTTTCGCTTGGGTTTGGAGAAGTCTATTTCAATGCTTGACCTAGTTGTATCAAACTCATGGTCCTGATGGGCTGTCTAATTCAATGCGGAGTCTTTTCAGATTTGATGAAAGCTTCAGGCGCTGATGCAACATTTTAAGAGACCATCAATGGAGGTTTAACAGTGACCCTGTTATCAAAGGTTTCGTGCCGAAATACAAGAATTTGACAGCATCCCAGAAAGAGTCCCTGCTGTTGTACCATGGCATTAAGGTGTACCAGTTGATGCAAATGCTGAAATCCGACAATGGGATACACAGGCAACAGATGGAGCGATTTCACCACACAAAGTGATGGCACGGTCATGACTAAAAGGATTACAAGGACTCTCGATGACAAGCCGTTATTGTTTACAAAACTGATAAGGTGGAACCAAAGCCATCAAAATCCTAGCACAAGGCAGCAGAAGATGCACCAGTAGAGAGTGATCCAGCTGATGATCAGAGAGCTGACTATGAAAAGAGGTTTGCCAAATTGGACATAGGAGATTGGTGGTGGTATTGTTTAGCTTTGATATTGGGGTGTTGTTCCCACTTTTCTTTATTCTCTTTCCCTGTTTATAATTATTTGCTTGTATAGATGCTTAGGTATATGGTTTTCAGCAACATGATGTTATTTCTTCTGCAATGAACAACCGCTGCATCTGAATTGAAACTTCTGATACAGAATGTCAGAACCAGAAACTAACTTGAAAATGATATCATATTATCAAATATGTATGATACTCAAATATAAATAACCAATCCAAGCATTGAAGCACTTAAAACTCTATAGACTTATTCATATCAACTTACTGCACAAAACCACACATTATCCTTGTAATCCTAATACAGAATCACCATCAACCACTGCTCAGTTTTTGGTTACTTCGCTACACATGGAGTAAAAATGAAAATGTCATCAAGCCTATCATTGCTAGGGGAATTGCCACCATAAACCAGAAGCCCGAGTTGGCCATCCCTTAAGCCACTGGAAAAAGCACACCATCCACGAGGACCGGGGTGAGTTTCCAAACCCGGATCATCCTCCCACTTCTTCCACACCAATGTCTCTGTGTCCAAACCGTAAACCTCTCCAGAAAATTTACCAGCACCAAGGTGACCTAATTCACTGGGATCCACTTCCCCACCATATATGATTATGTATTTGCCAATCACAACTGTAGAAAATACACTCCGGGCTGTTGGTTTCTCCCCACTTGTCTCAACTTGGGACCATTTTCCTTCGGCCGGATCAAAGCAATGCACATCATCCATTTCCACTCCAGAGAAGCCATAAACCACCCATATTTTTCCTTCGATGACAGCCAATCCAGGTCCACCTCTTCCCTTGCAACTCTCTCCCGGGGTTGGATACTTGATCCATTTCTGGTAAGCAACATCATAAGCCCATAGATCATTAAGTCGGCCTGAAACACCGCACCCTCCGAAGACATAAACATGTCGGTCATCAGCTGTCGTGGAGTGATAGCTGCGATGAGCGGGGCCACTGTCATCGTTGGAAAGCAGGACCCACTTGTTTGTACGCGTATCAAAAGAATAAAACTCATTCAGCTCCTTGTGTTCAGAATCCCTACCACCAAACACATAGATGGTTTCACCAACAGTGGCCATCGTGACACCAACACGCGGAGGCGGGACATCGCCGGTTATATCAGCAACGGACCATGTTAAGGTATTGAGATCAAATACATAGAGCTTGTTGTCAACTGGGACTCTTGGGGTGAACTCACCTCCAAAGATATAGGCCTTCGATCCCACAATGGTTATGGCGTGTGAGCTTCTAGCTCCAGGACCAGTTCCATTCTGGTTAAGCTGATGCAGATTTACAAAACCAAAGAGTAAAACTGGAGATCAAAATCTCATAGCTAGATTTCGACAATAGTCAAATGATAAAGTTAAAACAGGAAACTGCAGGTAAATCACAAGACCATGTGAAAGACAAGTGTATAGACAAAATAAAACTAGGGACAAACAAATAAATCAAAAAGATCTTTGATTTGTAAAGATCTTATCCTCCTCACTCTTCTTCAACAAGATAGATCCTTTTTTCTTTTAATTCATAAAAAGCTGCGATTTTTGCAAAAACTACCCATATATATTAAATAAGAAATGCTTAAACAAACTCACGAAAAGAAAAACCCAGATAAATAAAGTATTGAAAACATGGTTGTTAGAGGAATTCAACAGGAATTCTCTCAACCAAATATGAATCTGAGGATATGATCAAAAACATGTGTTGAACAGAAAATGAACTTAAAGAAGTAAAGAAGGAAAAGCGCAGAGTTCAGTTTGTTTAAAATATTTTGAAAAGGTAAATTGTATGTAACATAGAAGACATGAATTGAGAACAAACCTTGACCCATTTCCCTTGAGCCTCGGCCATCAATAGAAAAGTGAAAGATCTGTAATTAGTAGTCGGCAAGAATTTCACTGTTGGACCTGGAGAGTGTAGCTTTATGAGGTATCATGGCCATCACACTACCTAATTTATATGTGAAAGTGAAGCACATTATACATATTTTTGGGTAAAATATGTAAATAGTCCTCTGAGTATAGTTTTTTAAATCTTCCAACTATAAAAAAAGTTACAAATTGACTATTCACTTCTTAAATAATAAAATAACCTATTTTTTTTAAAAAAATTAACAGTTGATGATATAAAAGTTAATAAAAGTATTATAATAACGAATTTAACTATCAACTTTTATATTATGTTATAATCTAATCCTAATTTTAAACTTAAAAACTCTTCTCTCAAAATCTTTAGAGAAAACAATAGTTCCTTCCACCGACGAGGTCACTTGATGGATCTGTCTTCTCTTTTTCTAATAATTCACATTTTATTTAGGGTAAATTACGTATTTAGTACTTAAATTATCAGTTTTGATCCATTTTAGTACATAAACTTTTATTTTTTTTAAAATCATATCTAAAGCCTAGTTTTTGTTTCATTTTAATACCCCGCCGTTAAGTTTTGAAAAAAATGAAAGTCTAGGTACCAAAACACGTTTAGTACCTAAATCATACTTATGTTTTGGAAAATATATAAAAATTTAGGTATTAAAACAGATAAAACTGATAATTTAGATATTAAACGCGTTTAATTTTTAACGATAGGTATTAAAATGAAATAAAAAGTAAACTTTATGTATGAATTTAAAATAATTGAGAGTTTATATACTAAAACAGATCAAAACTGATAGGTTAAGTACTAAATGCATAATTTACCCTTTTACTTATTCCGATTAATAGGAAATAAAATATTCAATTGGATTTAAATTGATACTAAAGAATAAAAAAAATATAATTCGTTTATGGGAAAGCTCTAATTTCATAAAATTTCCCCTTTTTAAGGGGAAAAAAAGGAAAAAAGGATAATTGGTATTTGACCCTCAATCTTTTACGATATTGCAGAAGTAGCTTTCAAATTGTGAATTCAAGATTTGATTGAGAAAATTGTCAATGTGAAAAGAAATATTTAAATGCAGATACTCTTGCAAGGCATGGAAACGGCCAATTCTAGTGAGCCTAGTGCTCACTGCTGACAGTAAGTTGCATTGGATGCTGATAATGACAACTATAATAAAAAGGGTTATCAGCCATGCAATTCATTATTTTAAAATTTTGAATTCAATAAGTAACTGGTTTAGGTTTATATATCACTTTCATTTTTATATTTTAAACTTCAAACACCACCCAAATCAAGTTTAAAAATACAATCTTTTGCACGAACCAACTTACCTAAGTGGTTAAAGGAATCATTATTGTTCCTAGAGGTAATGGGTTCGAGCACCAGTGACTGCAAGGGAGATTAAGCGTTCATTGTTAAATGGTTAAGAAAATTTAGAACATATACTACTTTGTAATAATCAGCTTTAACTTAATAAAAAAATATAATCTTTTACTTTCATACTTTTCATTTAAAGGTACACATGAAGTTGGATCCCATTCAATGGTTTTAGTGTTTAAAAATAGCGTTGTTCTATCTAGACTTGGGTTTAAGCAGTTGTATCTGTAAGGTGTGTGTTGTCGATGACTAAAAAAGATTATGAATATATATTACCTTATAATCATCCCGGATTATTCAAAGAAAGTGCAGATGAAGTTAAAATTTAATTAATTAATTTTAGTTCAATTTGTATTATTGTTGGTATAATATATAACAGGACAAACATATTTAAGTGTTTAATATCTCTCTGTTTTATAGGTGAAGAAATATCTGAATAATATAAATAATGTATAATATTATTAAAAATATATGATAAAAAATAAATTTTAGAAAATAATTCAAGTATGAGAAATGGTGTGATGTTATGCTTTGATAGATATATTAGACTCTAAATTTGTTATCATTTATACTTTTAGGATTGATAACTTCCTTGACTGCATACCTATTCACTTTGGACCCAAGCTTTGCAACATGTTGAAATTAATATTTGCATTTTAAAATATTATATTTATAATTTATTATTTTTAAATCCATAAATTTGGAATTCTTTATTTGAGAAATAAAATATTTTAAACTCGAGACTTTCAAATATTCAAAAATCCATTGTTTAGATAATTAAAATTTAGATTAAATTCCAATTAAGTATAAGTTTAAAATCATTTTTTGTAGAATCATTTAAAGATTTGAAATGTTTACTTATAATTCTATAATGGATTATCCCATGAAAAAAGTTATTTCAATGGATAAATATTAAATTTTGATTTTTTTAATTTATAAAAAAATATTATCAACAATTAAATTCGAAATTAATTTTGTGAAGAAAAAACCAAGATTAATAATTCTAATTTATTTTCATTATTCAACTTAATTTATTATGAGATGATATATATTCCATTATTTGAGTGAATAGTAAATAATTCAAAATAAATTCAAAATTTTTAATATTTAGAAAAAAATGCCATATGAAAAAAATAATTTTTACAATAGTACAAAGGCATAATTTAATATTAATATATAAATATTGAGATTATAGTATTAGGGAGATGATAGTTAATGTTGGTTATAATTTATCTCCTTTAACTTGGACAAAGATTGAATTAAGAGAGTTACTAAAGTTTAAGATAGTCGAAATCAGAAAAAAAGAAGACAAAAAAAAAAAAAAAAAAAAGAGAAGAAAGGTGAAAGTAAATGAGAGAAAAAGAAAAGGGAGGATCTCGAGTACCCCTCTTCTTTAAAGGTGAGCATTCGATCGAGGTGAATAAAAAAAATTCAAGTTATTCGAATCTTATTTTATAACTCGAAGTTGACTTGAAATATTTTCGACTCGACTCGAATTTTATAAATTCGAGTAGAGTTAAGTCAAATTTTTGAGTTTCTATTTAAATTTAATTGTAAATATTTACAATATTATGACATCATTTGATTCTTATTTAAATAATATTTTATAATTATATACAATATATATATATATATATATATTGTATTGTTTTCATATGTGATTTACATATATCTTATAAAGTCGAGGGACTTGACTCAAACTTCGAATCAAACTTAAAAATCAATCTACTAATTAGTAAAAAATTCAAGTTATTCGATTTGTATTTTACAACTCGATTTGGACTTGAAATTTTTTTGAGTCGAGTTGAATTTATGAAATTATAACTTGAAGTCAATTCGAGTCGAGTCAAAAAAATCGATTTTTCAAGTCGAGTCAAATTTTGCTCACCCCTACTCCTCTCCCATCCTTGAGAAGGGTGAAAAAACCCTTATATATTTGGTGTCCTAGATACCATATAGATTTAATGGATTAGTGAACTATCACAGACTAAGATCATTATGAGACTTGTCATATCAGTTTGTGGTTGTACATCCCACTCGGTCATTGGAGGAATACAGAGAAACTGTAATTTCATAGTTAAAGGTTGTATAAAATTCTGGTGTCTTACTACTCTTTCATCATGGTTTTTGGGGACTTTGGACTTAATATGTCTTTTGGCCATTTTTTTTGGTTTAGTCGAGTTTTGTCAATGAGATAATGTAAATATGTCTCTCCTTAACAAAAAAAAAAAAAGTTATACGCTGACAAATTACAATCGTTTATGCTTCATATGAAAATGTATTTTCGCCGTGATCAGTGTATGAGAAAGAGAACATTTATTACTTTTGATTCTCATGTTTTTAATAAGAAGAGTACACTTCAAAGGGTTTTATGAAAGATTTTGCATGTTCATTAGTTTGTTTCAAAAATTCAATTTATTAATTAAAACATACATATTCATGTTTAAAATATTTATTCTATTATCTCTTCAAAGTAACTTTCTTTTTTAGGATGGAAATTGCGCTACAAAAAAAATAATAATATGCATTTTTCTAATTGATTTGGTCATGAATTTTTCATTACCTTGATGCTTCTATCTATTTATGTTGTCAAAATTCAAATATTCATTTTCGAATATAAATTTTTAATGTTCTTGTGTTTTTCTTATTTGTGGACTTGGGTAAGATGATGAACTAAGAGAAAAGTTGACTCGATAATTATTGATTGAAATAGGGTCTCACTGAAATTATTTTTTGGTATAATGTGAATGCTATAATACTCGTCGAAAGACGTCGGAAACACAGTGCGTCTTTGTAAAGTAGTCGGCAACACAGTGCGATCTAGGCTAAATCGCACTGCAATCAGTGCGTCTAAAAATTTTTGCCGGATGATACCAGAGATTTAGAAGCAGAAAGTCAATTTAAATAAATAAATAAACAACCATAGGATGGTTTAACAGTGGAAGAAATGTCTGGTTTTGAGCATTAAAATTTGAAGAACCACCAACAATGCAAAATATATAAATTGATTTACAATTGGATGCTTGAGCGCAATGCGTCTCCAACAAAGATGCATGAAGTGCAGTATGGCTCCGACCCTGACTTCTCTCTTTACTGTAGCAATTAATTTTAATCGTACATCATCTTAAAGTTTTTTTTCACATCATTATCAAAAAAAAAAAAAAAAATTGCCACTTTATTTACATTGTTCTTAGTTTTTTCTTTTGTCCACTTTCTTTTAGTTCGTGTTTTTCTTTACATAATTATTTAGGAATTTTGAATATTCTAACTCTTTTTATTCTTTGAAATCATCATTTATGTTTCAACAAAATAATTAATTAATATCACATCTCAATTAGAATTTTCTAACGAAGTTCGTTTGATGATAAAGCTTATTCAAATACTCCTACATTTCTAGGAGTGTTGTGCGAATGTAAATTAAGATCAATATGAGAATCATAACTTATATGAATCTATGACATCCCCTAACATCTTTGGTTTTCTATTAGATTTTAGAGTAAACTATACAGATAGTACTTTATGTTTTTGGTCTAATTGAATTTGGTTACCGATTAAAAAATTAAGTGGATTTGATTCCTTATGTTATCGGTCCGTTCAATTTAAGTTCCTTAGCCGTTAACTTCCATTAACCCATTAATATTAAGTAGTGGTAATTTAAAA